TGAACTCACCCGGTGCCATCTGCATGGTGACTCTCTCCTGTTCGAGTCTTCTCCGGGTCTCCATCAACGTCTTGGTGACATGAAGGTTGTGCTTTGGGAGTTGAGGGGAGGGAGGGGGCAGCAGCTGTCGATTTTCTGGGATGGTGAAAGTGGGTGAGGTCTCTAGTGGGGCAGGTGGCCGTGGGATTGGGGTTGATGTCACGTGGCTTCTGGCTAGGAGGAAGCTGGGACACTGCTTGCTGTCATCACTGTTGGAGGATGACAGGGATTCAGTGGAAGTCCACACACCTTGATGACCAGGTGTGGCCCTGACTTCTGGACATGGCGCAGACGGTTTTCGCCTCTTCTGGATGTTCACTTTCTTGATAGTGTTCCCCTTCTGTATGTCATCCACGTATTTGACGAAATCTAAGTCGAGCTGGAAACCATAAGGGGTTTCCACAAAGTATGGGTCTTTCTGCTCCTTGGTATGGTCTCCATTCAGAACTTCATCTGCTTTTTCTAAGAGAGAGAAGAAAACATGATAATACATTGCATTACATATTTTGGTAAGAACAGTTATTTGTGAGTGTAGCACACGCTAGTCTGACTAAGAGTTGATAGTCCTAGTTTCTGGACCTCAACTCTCTGAATGAAAATGGAGACACTGACCATCGTATCGGCACAAGTCTATGATCCCAGCTACTGGAGAGACGGAGGCAAAAGGATTCCAAGTTCAAGGCCAATCTGGTCAACTGAGAGAGAGACCTTATTTCAACATAAAACGTGGATGTAGCTCAATAGTAGAGCAATTTATAGTACTAACCCCCCCCCCAAATAAATAAAAGGACAATTCAGGTATTCAGCTCCTGACATTATGAAACAATGGTCTTGAGAGCCAAGCACATACTGGTACAAAGAGCCTGACACCCCGGTCATGTAGATTTCACTTGTCCTCTACAGTTCTTTGAAGGAAAAGAGGGCAGTTTTTAAGAGTCCTATCTTATGCAGTCCACTAAGTCACAAAATGCACTAAGTCAGCAGAGAAAAAGAGAGGGTCACAGCAGATGCATGGATCTAGGGATGTCTGTGTGTGTGTGTGTGTGTGTGTCTGTCTGTCGGTCAGTCTGTCTGTCTGTCTGCAGGTTTGGCAGTCTTTTCTTGCCAGTGGCCAAGAGCCACCTAGTGTCTCTCTCCACATGATTCCATTTTGCCCCGAACCCTTCCTGCTTCCGATCTGGGGACACAGGACAGAGAGTGAATTCTCTGGTGGCCTGGGTGCAAGGCCACGGTCAGAGGACAGACTTTCACCTGCTGCTCACTTTCTCTCCCTACTCAAAACCCTCTGCCGCCAACTGGAGGAAAGTTTTCTCCACTCGGCCGTCTTTTGCTTTCTGACACAACATTTACCACCTCACCAATACCTGGCTTTGTAGTCACAAGCAACCCAAACAGGTCCAAAGAGGGACAGAAGTGAGGGCAAACCCAACTCCAACTTCAGGGTCATGTGGTATTCAGTAAACGCTACTTCTGGCTAAACCAAACATAAAAAAGGAAACACAGGAACTTTTCAAAGCCTAGGCCTGGTTGCTGATCTGAGCCGTGCATTTCGAATTTAAAAGCAAGGTCGTTTTGTTTAAACTGTAGGATTAGGTCATTTGTTTTTCTACAGCCACACAGACACTGGCCTGTGTTTTTAGGTCTAAGGAATGGACCAAAAGCTAGGAGTGAAATGAGAGCCATCTGTCCCCCTGCCCCAGTCCTGGTCATCCCCCTGCCTACACTATTGTCAGACCCAACGATGGGAAGCAATCTTAGGCTGCTGCCTGCCCTCCTGGTCTCCAACACTGCTCCACATTACAGCTGATGCCGAAAGCTTGGAATGTTCTCCCCCCCTCCCCCCACATTTCTCTCTCTTTTGAAACTCTGGAAAGTTTAAAAAGATTGCCAAATGGGACTAAAAATGGGCACACATTCTTTATATCTCAATTTCAAACAATATTAAGATAAGAATACTTGGCTAACCTATGGCATGAGTTCTAGGGTTCAGTCATTCCATATACATACAAGCTTTCCATATACACACATAATCCCCAAACCCAAGCTACCAGCGGCGGCGGCTGCCACCACCACCACCCGTATTAAAATTGCTTAGAGCAAAAGTTAAGGAATTCTCTTTCAAATAAGTGCCCCAGCATGAGCTGACCCAGAGCGCCAGTGCCTGGAAATCCGAGCTCACGCTAACACAATGTATCTTCCTCTCTCTCTCTCTCTTTCCTAGCTTCCAACTCCACAGGACAGTGCGCTAGCTCAAAATATGCAGCCAGACCTGTTTCCAGAACTATCTGAAGTTCCAAAGGAAGCAGGGAGAAAAGGAAAGCCCAGGGTGTCTGGCGCACACGCGGGGGGGGGAAGGGTGTGTGTGTGTGGGGGGCGGACACACTCACCCGGGGTGCGCGGTATGGTGCTGGGCAGGGCTGGGGATGGTGGGGGCGGCACTCAGGGTCCCGCGAGGAGGGAGCCGGAGCCATCTGCAGGTCACCCTCACCCCTAAGCACTTGGCCTAGTTCCCCTCGGCTCACCCCAGGCGGCCCACCCTTCCCCAGTTCACCTACCCCAGGCGCAGGTCCACAGCAAGACAGCCTCCGGCCGCAGCACCCCAGGCCTGGATTCCGCTCCTCTCCACTTAAGGCAATGCCTGTCAACCCTCGCACACACCTCCCAGGCCCGCAGGGACACCATAGGCCCAGCCTACACCAATGAGGGCTCCCCGCGTCCCGCCAGGCACACTCAGCAGTCCGGCATCCCCCTGCTGTCTTAATGAAAACAGGAAGCCGCCTTCTTCGGAAAACCGGCGCTCGGCGGCGCAGCTTTGCCAGGAGCCCAAATAAAGCCGGCAATGTGAGCCTCTCCACCGAGGGCTCAGGCTGCCCCTGGGGCCAGACACTTCATCAAAGAGTCTGTGTTCTGGAGGCAGGCCTAGCAAACTCAGCCCGGGTCACCTGAGGAAGGGCAGGGCCACAATTGGCCACTGTTCCCGAGCACTGAAGGGCACTTCTTAGCATAGCTCCTGACAGGTGACCGGTGGCCAACAGCTCCCCTCCAACAGCTGAGCCCTGGCCCTGAACCTTAAAGTGAATTAATGAAACAGGCCCCTTTATCCGCTGTAAACAAAGCAGGGCATGCCTGCAAGAATACCACAGAGAGGCTTTACAAAGAAAAAGTCAATCATGTCTGAGGCGGTGGCCGCTGGCATGACTTCTAGGTTTTTCTTAATGATGTTCCCACTGCGGCGTTTTTCAGCAGGAAAAGTGAAATTGGTGTCAGGTTTCAGACTCCCTCCCCACCCCGCCCAGCTCACTTTTCCGAAAAACTTAACTGGCCTATATTTAGCTACTTCCCAAGCTCAGCGAATAGAGATAACCAAAGGTCTGGGTCATTCTGAATTACCCCCAAGTGACAGTTTGGACTTCTCCCCCTGGAAGTCAGGGGCAGTGAGAATTCAACCAACAGCAGACTTCTTTCCCAAGCACTGCTGAATCTCAAATATTGAAAGGACCCTGGAGACGGTATCTCCTTCTCAAGCAATAAAAATGAAACTAAAAACCCAGACAGAGCAGATAGAAAAACATCCCCAACAAACAAACAAACAAACAAACAAACAAACGTTCTCAAAGTATCATCTGTACCAAGTATTCTACTCTTACATTGAAATATCCAGTCTCACTTCAATATTTTTTATTTAATTAACTTAATATTGGTTTTTTGAGACAGAATCTCATTAGATACCCCTGGTTACCTAAAAACTAGCTATGTAGACCAGGCTACCCTTCAATGAGATCCACCTGCCTCTACATCCCAAGTGTTTGGAAAAGAGGTATGGCCACCACACCCAGGACACAATCTCAATATTTTTTATCTCCTGATTTCCAGTGTCCTTACACAAGCATCTGCTGACATGCCTATGACCCATACTTAATTCTCAATTTTTCTGTACAATTCTCAATTTTTCTGTACAAAAGTATGTCTTAACCTCCCCCTTCTATAAACATCCTCAGAACAACAGATTGAATTTTCAAAAACATAACTTTACACCACATAACAAGATGGTTAGGAGCAAAGCAGACATTTAAAACCCCTTTAATGGTTATTTTCAGGGTGCAGAATTAGGGGTGATATATACTTTGTGCTTTACAAATTTTTATGCCAAAACTACCACAGAAGTCACTATTTCTACAGGAATGTACAATCTAAGTACGCTCAAGTGTGAACGTGGCAAAGGTAGACAGTTAAACCTCTTCCACAGTAGAATTAACTTATTTTTAGATGAGTAAATCTAAAGCCAGTATTTCCCCCAACCTCCTTTTACTGTTAGTGTGGCCATACGAAGACAGTTCATGAAACAATTCCTAACCCCACCCGAACCGTCCTCAAGAGACCCAGGAATAATCTTTCTTTTCTTCATTCCTTCCTCCAGTGCGGGTATGATGCTAAGATCACTAGCTGATAACTTGAGTTCACACCTGGGGGTAGGGGAACCATGTGTTAGAAGGAATCTGGGTCTCAGGTGGCTCTGTGCATCAAAGCTAGTATTAAAACTCTTGAAGCGCCTACCCCTCTGTACTACTGTGGGAGAGAAATAAACTTTAGAGTGAACCCCGAATTCTAAGAGATACAGCAGTTTCTATCCTATGTCCACTTCTCATCCCTACCCAACCCCCAAACGGTGAGCTATATATATCTTTAAAAGAAGAAAATGCTAAGTAACTAAACTGAGGAGGTATTACAACATTAAAGCTTTTTATTATGAAAATTGGTAAATTCAAGAATAAGAAAGTACAAAACAATCTCCATAGCTGAGTTATAAAGAGACTTTTGAGCCGTCTCAAAAACCTCTTTTAGACTAACAGAAATATGTCTGCTTTCACACGGCCAGAACTCCAATTGGTTTTGTGGAATTCTGCAATCAACAGCTCCCGACCGTTCTGGAACTGGAGGGCTGCCCAGGTGTTTACGAGAATTTTCTGAATGTTTGGGAATGCAGTACTGAAGTCAGACTACTCCTAACCCCCCTCTGCCTTCATTATACAACTTTTATTGAAAACTTACTGGGTGCAGAAAAAAATGATCCTATTGTTGAAAGAGTAGAAGAAACATTTGTGAGAAATAAAATGAGATGTAGGCTTGCTGGGGCAATGAATACACACGACACAGGTTGAAGTTAGCTACAAAGGTACGCTGTGGACAAGCCAGACCACGGTACGTGAGCAAGCGGCTGAAACAGAACTGGCTGCCCAAGGACCGGGTTTGGAAGAACAGGTAAGTGTGGATAAGAACACAAGGCAAGAGGGGCAGGCTGGGTCTGTGAGAGCGGCCTCAAGACAGATGAGACGGGATGGGGGCGGGACAGGCCCTGGTCCCGGGTCCAAGAGCGGGGCACTCTGGCCCCTGTATTATTTAGCCACCAACTATGGGATGAAGGTTTAAAAGACATCAGCAAAGACGTCCTTGACAGCCACGGAGAGACTGGACTGAGCCAGGCAAGAAGAGCTTAAATTCAGAGCACAAGTTACAGTGGTTTGAGGGCTTTCTTTTGTGAAAGACAGTCTTATCATGTATCTCTCTGGCTGACCTGGAATTCGTTACATAAGCCGGGCTGGCTTTGAACTCTCAGAGAGTTGCCTCCTGTTGCCTCCCAAGTGCTGGGTTTAAAGGAGTGTGAGCATTATACGTGACAACAATCATTAGGTCTTAATAGCCACTGGGAAGTTTAGAGCCAAGAAGACAGGTATTTGTATGTGTGACTTATAGTCAATATTGAAGCTAAAGGCTTATTAAAATCCATCATCCATTCATCTTGACCACGTAACGCTTTCTGCTGTAGGAATTAGGGATATAATGTAAATGAAAGAAACAACACTCTTATGTGGCTCACAGTCCAGTGCCGATAGGGCACACAGAAAAAAAAAAAAATAGATGAGATGCTGAGCAGGAGTGAACGTCACCCCAGCCCTGGCACCAGTGTGCCTGGGTGACTGGGTGGCTTGCTAACAGTGGGCTGCACAGCCTGGGCCAGCACCCTTCCTGAGCTGGTGCCAGCCTGAAAAATCAAAGGTCACAGAGACCTTTCTCCTCCTCTCTCTACCCAGTCTGCCCGGGCTGCAATTAGGGGTAACCGCAAACTAACGTGACAGCCACCCTCAGAGAAAACTCCCCAAGTCCAGGAGAGATTCCCATGAGTTCAGAGGGAAATCAAAACCCACAGTTGGTGATAAGGCTTTTCTTTATGTGTATATTTACCTTCCCAAAAAGGCCCAGCTGTGGCTTCAAGAACAGTGCAATATTTTCTTGTGGTTCTCCTCCATGCACTAGTGAATTTGAGATACAGAAATGTTAAAATTCATTCCAGCGAGGGCCAGAATGTGTTCTTTATTCGATTTTAACTTTTTAAACAAACTAAACTCACTGTCAAAACAATATTCCATTTGGGAAGACCTAAACATGACTCTCTTCACCAGGAAGCAGCAGCTTAGATAGCAGTTAACTGGTGTGGGAGTCCGGCCTGCCAGCGGCTGCTCTCAGCTCAGCTTCTTCTCCCTGGTGACCTCTGGTAACGTCACAGGTAGTGAAAAGTGCTACAGCTGGTGAGTGGCTTGGTGAGTGGAGCCCAGAGGTGGTGCCGAATGCCTGGTCTGCCCCCTCTCCCAAGACAGTCTTTCAGCCCCTCCCCCCCAACAGAGCAAAATAGCTTCATACAGCAACATCTGGGCTGTGGCCTTTTAGCCCTCCATTTCTCAATGAGACTATAACACTATGTGCCAGGGACAGGGTGATCTTTTTTAAAAAAACAGAGTCTTGCTATGTAGTCCTAGAGCACGGATCTTGTTCTGCAGGCCTCAAACTTAGTTCTCCTGCCTCTGCCTTGTGAGTGGTGGTATTATAAGATCTGCACCACCATCCCTCACCATCCATCCCTGTCCATTCACTGTAAAGCACCATGGGTTGGCTTTGTGGTGACATTCTTACACACGGGTGCCGTGTACTTCAGGCACACTCACACCCCCACGCTGTCTTAACGCCTATCTCCTCCTCATGCTCCCTTTTCTAATGAGTTCCTGTTGTACTTTCATGTCTTTTTCTTTTTAAATTTAGATCCTGTGTATGACAGAAAATAGGCAATATTTATCTTTCTGAGAAAATGCCACTTTTGAGTAAGAAACACTCATCCTTTTTCTACCATAATGAGCGATTCTTTATTATGAACAAAAAGCTCTAGACATTTCCAAAATAATGCTCCCTGGACTTTTAACTGGACAAGGCTCTGATATTATTACTCTATTTGTTGGACTACAATGACCTCTTTGTTCCGCTGCCCACTCTAAGCCCAATTACTGAGGACGCCATGAAGAATAATTACACCTGTGTGCCACAACCTCACACATTGTTAACGTGTTTTTAATCATCAGACACTCTCACACTCTCACGGACTGCTGAAACTAAAGAGTTAATTCCCACCACAGCATTGTCCTCTCTCACAGGAAGCACAGGGACCTGGCCTAGGAGCATGGCATCACCACAGAGTCCCACATCGACAAGTGGCCGAGTGCAGTACGCTGCTGTGGGGAGCATCCCGGAGGACCCCGGCCGCTATGGCCCGGAGGCAGGAAAGAAAGTCGTGAGGGTGAACAGGAGGGAGGGGGACCAGGCCATGAGGTGAATTCTGCAGCATTTGAAGGTGTCTGAGCTAGCAAGGCAGCTCCTCTGGGAAGGGACAGTGGTACAGAGAGAAAGCAGGAAGTGGATCAGCTGGACCGTGCCCTTCAGAACAGGTCTAGCAGGAAATGCTCCAAAGACACTGAGCACTAAGCTTTCCTATCCAAGCACCTTCCCTCCCAATACCAAATCTACACAGAAAACCACAAGAGAGATGCCACTAATGTGAGTATTCTGCATTCTGCCCAAAAGGAAAATATGGGGGGAAGGCACTTTCTTGCACTTATCCAACAATTACTTTGTTTTATTTACTTTTTTTTTTTTTGCTTCTTGAGACAGTTTTGTTATATTGCATCCCAGGCTGACCTCAGACTCAAGATCTGCCTGAGCTGCCCACGCGCTGGACAGAGTTAGCTGCTTCCAAACCGGCTCTTTTCCTCCCAGCTAAAACCCATTCATTGATTCAGCCACTCCAAAGGGTGCTAGGCTCCCTTTGAAGAGAGCGCATTTCTTTCTCCTGGGAGTGGAGACTGCCTATCTTAATCTTGCCAATACCTCTCTGCAGCTATTCTAAACGGCTGTCTAAACACTTGTGCAAATAAAACAAGAAAGTGAAAGGGTATTTCAAAAGCTTTAAGGGCCGGACCCACTGACACTGTATGTAGCAAAACAGCAACTTCACGGCCGGCTTTGTTGATGGGGCTGCCAGAGCGCTAGGTCCTTCTTTCTTCAACTCCTTAGATCTCACCCACATGTTTGTCAGCTCTGTCTGTCACAGCTGTACATGATCTCTGCACACGATCCCTACACCAGCCTTCCTTTCTACACCAGTTCCACATTCCCAGGTTCCCTCCTGGGAATGCTCCCACACTCCACAGGGGGAGCCCCATCTTAGGAGGATGACAGATTTAGTTGATCACTTAGTAAGTCTTTAGGAAGAACCCAACATGTGGCAAGCCGCTCAGTGCTGACCAGAACAGCCATGGAGGGAACCTGCCCAGAGAACATACAAACTACAGGAGACAGCTGTGTGCTTATACAGATAGCAACTGCCTTAGCAAATGCCCTGGAGGTGAAACCGGGGCCCTCACACGGGAGGGAGGGTGGGGGAAGGGGTAGGCACTTGAGAGGTCTGCTGGGCAGCCTACTGGGGGCATGGGGGAAGGGAAGAGGCACAGCTAGCAGAGGAGGGAAAGACCAGTTTTGGATCCTGAAGTGCATCTTGAAGCTATTGGGGGTTTTAAACAAGGGAGTAAAATGGTCCATTTACATTTTAATAAGATTTCTCTGGCTAGTCGAAGGGTTATATATTAAAATTCCCTTCTCCGTCTTCTGGTAGGCTTCCAAGGACTGTTTGTGCAAATTTCCTCTTTGGTCTCACAAGTGAGCATTTGTCTACTTAACAAGATAGACCATCAGCGCGGCATGACATTAAACTATCCAAACCTGCACTCCATATTTGGGCAGTCGGGCCTCGTGTCTTGGTGTCCATCTTTCCACCTCTCCACCCTGTATTTAGGAGGAAACTGTGAAGTCCTAACAATGTCAGCCCCTGTAGGCTGAGCTGGAGCCCAGACACCAGGACCAAGGCTGTGCCAGGCTCTATCTGCTGCCCCATTCTGCTACTAAAAAGGAAAATATTTTTCTGACAGCCAATGACTCACAGCGGAGAGAAATGGTGGGGGAGGGGTTTCCTCTTCTGGAGGTCATTGAGCGACAATAAACCTAATCTGTGAAGGACAGAGGTGGCGTGAGTAATGCCAGGAAGCAGGCAGAAGACGTTTAGGGAATCCGCCTTCTGACCGAGCACCGAGGAGAGGAATACGGACTTACTCTACACCCTGCGATTCTGGGAGCGGAGCAGCAAGATTCAAAGTGTCAACCACAAGGCTGACCTGGCAGCCAGCAGGAGCTTCTGTACCTTTAACTCTCCCTTGACTTTAATTTCTCCACCCATCCGTGACTAGTTGCTGAGGGAAAACTCAACAACTCAGAGAGGGTCTAGGCAGACTTAAGCAATGCTCCCCTCCCCCAGATTCAAAACATTTACCCACCAGAAGCCTCAAAGCTGGGTTTGGGGTTGGCTTGCCTTATGTCCTGAATGCTCCTGTCGGCCCAGGTCTTCCTGTGGCTGACACTGCCTGAGGAAGGCATCTTGAACCCGTGTTAGCCCCACTGCCTGTCAGTCACTGCTCTCAACTTCCACCCCAGCGTTAGCTGCTTCAAACCAGTGCCGGTGGTCTCCTTGGCTCAGGGACACCTCCGGGATCCCACTGGCCACTTGGATAATTTGGGCATCAAAATAATATCATTAATGATAATAACCAACTGATAAGTATCTGTGAGTAGTCCATAATGGTAGAGAAGAGTGCCAGCTAATGACCACGGTGAGGATTATGGGAACAGAAAATTACCATACAGCAACCATCCCCGCGGTGGCTGATGGAGACAGGAATGGCTGGGGAGGCTGGTGGATGGAATACTTCCTACCAAAGATGAGAAGACTGCTGTGGTCTCAGAAAACCTCACGACAAAACTGATGGTTCCAGTGAGGAAGCCAACGGTGAACTACGCTGGCATCCTGCCCCTGTAAGATGCACTGAGATAGAGGAGTCACTTTTGCCAAGTGAGATACAGACTGGAGTCTAGAAACATCCGTGGGTCCCACCTGAAGGACAACTCTACAGTGCCAAAGGACTTTCGTCTGGGAATCCTCCAAGTCACAAAGAAAGGAAACATAACTGACAGAGACTGGATTACTTAACGAGATGAATTTCAATTCCTTCCTCCTTTCCTCCTGTCATCCCTCTGACTCTTCCTTCCCTTCCTTTCCACTTATTTGCTTATTTATAATTTTTTTTTAAATTTATTCTGTATATAGTGTTCTGCCTGCATGTATACCTGCAGGCCAGAAGAGGGCACCAGATCTCATCACAGATGGTTGTGAGCCACCATGTGGCTGCTGGGAATTGAACTCAGGACCTCTGGAAGAGCAGCCAGGGCTCTGAACCTCTGAGCCATCTCTCCAGGCCCCCTTTCCACTTTAAAGGTGCACGAAGGCAGCCAGTCAGCCATCATGGAGCCAGGCCAGGCCCCCGACGATGTCTGTTTTGCAGACTTAGCAGTCAGTCTGCTCTCTGGTGCTGCTTATTTGAGGATGCTCCCTTACTTTGAGGTAGTTTTGAAAACATACGGCATCTGACTCAATGCTGGAGGTTGATGTGTCCCATTACAAAAACATCACCCGGAGTTCCTGTCTGCGTGTTGCGTCTTCCACGGCTGAGCCTCAATCCAGCACTTCCCTTCTATCTGCTCACCTCAGCGTACCAACGTAGTCGTCCCTATCTGTGGCTTCTCCCTCCATCGAGCACACACTTACCCAGACTCTACCATCTGTCAACACCAGCTGTGCTGTCCTTCGGAGCCTACGCCACAGGGCTCCTCTTCCTCAAAGCCCCAACCACCCACACCTTAGCTGCTCTGTTCAGGGCAGAGCTGGGCACCTTGTCCTCACCATGTTCCTGAGGCCTTTGCCGTATGCAATGTCCCGTGTCATGGTTAGCAGGCCCCTGGCTCACCTCCACTCTCAACTGTAAATGTTTAGGAAGGTGGGAACTGAGCAGAATATGTATTTTGTAATCCTTCAGTGCCTAGCTAGCCTGGTGCTTAGCCTACCACCTGCTTAGTATATGTTGGCACCAAAGCCTCCCGTCTGGGCATCTACTGATGAATAAGTGCGGTGGGGGAGGAGATGGCATATTAAAAGCAGGTAAGCTGGGGCAGACTGCCCATGCTACTTGCTAGCTAGTGGCAAGTTAGATCACCCTCCAACTGTATAATCAGGAAAATAGGCACCCGGATCAGTGCTGGGAGGGTGGGCAGGGAGGCTGGGGGTCTGTGCTACTATTACCAGGCCACTAACGGCCTGCTAACCCAGAAATTATACAAGACTCTGCCTCGAATTCTGTCAGGGCCCCATGAAGTTGGGGGCTTAAGGTTATGTGTGATACCTGTTCAAAATCAAGGGGAGGAATCTGCTGACCTTTATCTTGAGTCCTGTGTTTGGTGAGCCCCGAAGCGGGGTAGGCATGAGCACATGTACATGCCGGGGTAGGCAGGAGCACATGTACATGCCGGGGCGGGGGCTGGGTGCTGGGGGATTTATTAAGGCAACTCCACGTAGTTAAAAGGGGGGTTTATTTTGGGGTAACTTACAACAAGTAAAGGGATAGGTTACAGGGTCGGTGAGAGGTGTAGCGCAGTCCAGTGGTGTTCTCTGGAGAACTCTGCTCGGTCTACATCCAGCATCCAGGATCACCAGGAACCACAGGCGCCAGCACATCCAGATCTCAGGTCTTAAGGGCTCCTGTCTCGGTCCTGCCTCAGGGGCAGGGCCATAGATAGGCGTGACAGATACTGGAAGCCTCACTTGGGGTGTGACAGATACTGGAAGCCTCACTGGGGGTAGTACTTCCAGGTCAAAGCTCGAACAGCTACCCACTACAGCTGGGAGCTGGGTAGAAAGAAGGGAGGCCTGGACCAGCACCAGTAACACCCAGGAAGGAAGGAAGACAGAAGTGGACAAACATGCTCACTTTTCAAAGCACGTCAGGCCAAGGTAAAATGCATTCTTCCTGCAGGGAGGGGTGTGCAGTGACCATCAGGAGAACTCACATACGGAGGGGGGGAGGGGATGATCTGGGGACGTCCCCAGAGCAGAGGGCACCTCAACTCTGCAAGAGGGTACCTGAGAACCACCCAGTATATTTCCACGGTGGTCATCCCAGCAGGGCCTTCCTAAGCTGCGGGAAGGTACAGTTTTTGTTCTGTTGAAAAAGGGCATGCGATATAAATGGTTCTTTATTCATAGTCAAGCAGTGGGCAACAAGAACCCATGACTAACAAAACAAAAAAACAAAAACAAAACAGAAACCCCAGCAGTGATAATTTAACGTGCAAAATGGGTCCACTAGAATTCCATGATTTCCACAGCTGCTGTCGACTGCACTTGACACAAAAATTCCCTACCGGGGCATGCTAGTGATCAAATGAAAGTAGAAATTAATTGCAGAAGCTGTCAGGTGAGCTCCAGCAGGGCCCGTGGCTTGCTCTCTGTGGGGCCTGTTCACAGGTACCTTTCCAGTTGCCTCCTGGCCGGCAAGACTGAGTGCCCCCACCCCCTCTTCCAGCAACCCATTGGCAGTGTCCTTGGTTACACCCTGCACATGACTTAAGAGGTCAGAGGCCAGGCAACAGCCGTGAGGGGAAGGAACATGGAAAGGGTCAGCCGCTGCTCCTGGGAACAAACTAGCGTATGGCTTATTAAAGGGTCCGCTGGACCAGGGAGGTGCAGGAGGAGGCCAGTGGACCCTTGTGATCCAGTGGTCCAGTATCGCATGGCTGGCACAATCGTCCTTTGATCCATTGTTCAGAGTCAACAACAGATGCACCAATCTTTATCAATAACCTACAGGCATCTCACCAGCCCGACCCATGCCGCTTGCTCTCTAGCTAATGTTCACTATCTAGTTAGAATATTGGCACTGAATCAGCCCAGTTTCATCTCCCACACACAGAAGGGAGCTGCTTCTCCACCTTTATTCAGGAATTCCATGCTGGGCTAGAGAGATGGCTCAGTGGTTAAGAGCACTGACTGCTCTTGGAGAGGATCCAGGTTTGATTCCCAGCACCCATTTTACAGCTCCAGGAAATCCTGTCCTTTCTTCTGACCTCCTTAGGCATCAGGCACACACATAGTAACAGATACACACATGCAAAATACCCATACCCATAAAATAAAACAAGCAGAAAACCAAAACCAAACACTAAACCACACAAGAAACATTTTTAAGCTCTATACAGCACAGCACACCTTTAATCCCAGCACTCTGTGGCAGGGGCAGACAGATCTTTGTGAGTTTGAAGCCAGCATGGTCTAGATATTGAATTTCAGGCCAGCAAGGGCTACATCATGAAGCCCTGTCCCCCCAAGAAACACAAAAAGAATTCTGTGCGACTTTAAGCATAAATAGGAAACAGGCCAGGTGACAAGGACAGTTCTGTGAAAAGCAGACAAGGTGCCCAGGCTGAGACGGATAGAGAGGGCACCAGCTACACTTTCGGGGATGTGTGGGAGAACTCTTGCCGGAACCCCAGCCCTTCCAGAGCTGACACAGGAAACGGAACCAGACTCAATCTATCCTGGGCAACTAACTCCCTAGAGAATACAGAAGTGTGGGCTGGAGAGGTGGCTCATCAGTTAAGACTACTTGCTGTCTCGCAGAGGACCTGTAGCAATCCCTCCAGGTCCTTGTGTCCAAAGGCTAGTTCCACACATAGACAGTACTCGGGCTCAGTTCGCCCCCACGCCTTAAGCATTTCTAGGGACTGGATTATTTCTTGACTTTTTGTTTGTTTGTTTTGGAGACAGAGTTTCTCTCCCGAGCTCATTTCTCAGCACTGACACGGCAGCTTGACTAACGACCTGTAACTCTAGGTCCAGGGGATCCAACGCCCTCTTTTGGCCTCCGTGGGCACCAGGCCATGCACATGGTGCACATACATACACAGAGTCAAAACACTCACACACATAAAATAAATAACTCTTTACAAAGAAAAGAAAAACACGTGAGAACAAATGTCCAAAGAGGGCCTGATTAGCAACAACACAAGGGAGATCCTGGACTCTAAGGAAAGCAAGAACCCAGAAACTCAAGCTTTCACATCTGTGTGAAATTGTCCCTGGTGCTACAATGACATCTTTGTGCCAAAGCCACGGGCTAAAGGGAAAGTTTTCACTGAACCCGGAGGCAAGTGCCGAGTTATTTTTTCCAGCCTGTCATGAAGGCAAATATTTTTCATAACACACAGAGCTCCACTTTGTGTCACAGCCGCCCCCACCCACATGTCACGTTCCCCTGTCTTTTTTTTTGACATTCCTACTTAGCCACCCAGGGACACAAAAGCTGTCATTTTCAACAAGGCAGGAAGTCTCAGCAAACTTCCCTCAGCATTAAAGAGACTCCACACACTGCCAGGCACAGAGCCCAGGAGCCATGGCAGAGCATTTATTTATACCCATTTTGGAATTTCCTGACCAGCTAACAGCCACAGCGTCGAATTCCATGACACGGAGCTCCATGAGACAGCAAAATCACCAATGAATGAAAGTGTGCAGCACGGATCTTAACCGAAAAACAGGCCAAGATGCTCCCCCCATTCCCCCCCAACTCTTTAACAAGTCATACCCCCACCTCTGCAACGCTGTACTAGAAATGGAGTTTCTTAACTGCAGGAAGAGAGCAAGGGTAGCCAAGGTTCTCTCTCTCTTTTCTCCCCCCCAGCTCTCTAGGCAGAGGGAGAAAGGTCCCTTGTTATAATCTGAGTTAGGGGGCAGCAGCTGGCTTGGGAAGGAAATGATGAGGTCTAATGCTGCCCAGGGCTGGGCTGGAGACTTCCTGAGGATATTCGGTTAGTCCTGAAATTCACCACTTTGGCCAAACTTAAGCAAGCTTTTGTTAAAATGTTAAATACTGACTGAGATGAAATTTGGTCAGGACCGCTCCTGGAAACTTTCCAGCTGTGTGTCCTCAAGACATACAGGTGGTGGTGGGGGGGTTATATGGACAAAAGCCATAGGCCACCATACTTTCCCACGAGGCTGTGTTGTTATTTTCCAAGAACTACAACTCCCAGAATCCCAGGAAGTTACCTGGTCATTGGGCAGGTGTTATCTTTGAAGAACTACAACTCCCAGAATCCCAGGAAGTCACTTGATCTTTGGGCAGGTGTTATCTTTGAAGAACTACAACTCCCAGAATCTCAGGAAGCTACCTGGTCTTTGGGCAGGTGGAGCTTACAGGTTAACTTCGGGTCTAACAA